AACCCAACCCATCATTGATCTTCCTCAAACCAACATCAAGAACCATGTTTCAGAAGTAACTTTTTTATATTCTGTTATGTACTTTAATTTTTATACTTTGGGGTTCTGATTTTAATTACTAGTTCACAAGGTGCACTATATTGTAACGGTAAAGTATTATTACTTTTGATGAATGATGAGTCCTTTGAGCTAGTTTTTAAGTTTGAGTTATTCTATATATGACAGAGTGAGAGGAAAAGGGGGAAAAAGTAAGATAAAATTTTCATTTTTTAATTAATAGTTGTATAATGTTTTCATAAATAAGAAATAGGTAGCTAGATTATATTTTCTTAAAATTCATTACTTATTTATGAAAACATTATACCAATCTCTTGTTATAAAGTAGAAAAAAAGTATTCTCTTTCCTTAAAAACCAAACCTTGACAAGAAGATTATGCAGAGATGGCTATAGTATAGTCTTAATCAAGTTGATAGACCTTAACAAAAATGATTATGCATATACTGATACGTGGTTCATTTTTATACGGTTGCGAGCACATAATACGGTACGTTATCCGGTTAAATATCGGTACGCGGAGGGTATAATCAGTAGAGTTTCTATAGGTCTCTGCATATTCGTTTTTAGTGCCGCTTCTTGTAGGCTTGAATCGACACCATATGAGAAATACACAGGATACAAAATTTCTTCTTTGTTGTAACTTATTCATGTAAGTAAGTGTACACTATCAATTTATTCTTCTTTTCTTTTACTTAAATTGTAGTTAAAAATCCGGTTCGTTCCTTAAAGGGAACCAATTCGCAAAAGAACCACGAATTGACACGAGAGAACCACTCCGCGTTCCCTACCGAAATAAGAAATTTGTGTCTAATGCATAATTATTGTCAGTTATTGAATGCTTATCTGAAATATAAGAATTAATGTTTCAGCTGATTGGAAGAACACCACTTGTTTATCTTAACAAAGTCACTGAAGGATGTGGAGCTCATATTGCTGTTAAGCAAGAGATGATGCAACCTACTGCTAGTGTCAAAGACAGGTTTCCTACACCTTTATGTTTTCCATCTCATTTGATTTCTTTTTTCATTTCTAAATTCTAATATAGTCAATTACCAAAGTTCAAATTCCTACAATACTTACATGTAATTTTCATTTGGCAGACCAGCATTGGCTATGATCACAGATGCAGAGAAAAGGAATCTGATATCTCCAGGAAAGGTTAGCTGAATTGATTTTTTTTGCTCAATTATTGTTGGGAGATCTTTATCTATAGGCTATAAACATTCTTTATTCACACTTAGAATACCCAACATTTCCCTTCGTGTATTGGATATATAAATATTAGAGCTCAACTTCCATCTATTTGCATTGTCGTTGTCTTGTCTTATCATCAACGGAACACGTCGCCTTGACCTCTCGTCAGGAAGACTTTCGACACAAGTTTCCCACTTGAATCTATTGGCAACTTTTCGCTTTGATACTCGGTTGAGCAGTCTAACCATCAGCTCTGATATCACTTGTTGGGATCTTTATTCATGGGCTATAATATTCTTCCATGGACTAAGTGAAATAAGTATATAAATGAGTCTGACAACACATCTTGACCCAAAACCTTAAGACATTTTTTCACTTATATGCTCTTTAACTCATTCACTTTTACATAATATGAGACGTCTTCATTCACACTTAGAATACCCAACAATTATTCACATGTACATTACTTTATATTGCAGACAACTTTGATAGAGCCTACTTCTGGCAATATGGGTATCAGTTTGGCATTTATGGCTGCTATGAAAGGATATAAGATAGTTTTGACCATGCCCTCTTACACTAGCTTGGAAAGAAGAGTAACCATGAGAGCATTTGGCGCGGATTTAGTCCTCACCGATCCCACCAAGGGAATGGGAGGAACGGTGAGGAAGGCTTATGAACTTCTCGAATCCACGCCAAATGCATTCATGCTGCAACAATTTTCAAACCCAGCCAATACTCAGGTACATTTTCCAGCATTAAAATGTTTTGCTAAGAATTTCTTTATGAAACTATGCTTGTAATACAACCTAGTAATGCTTTAGTTGTTTATATATTATGATTTTGCAATGGTGAGTTCATATAATTGAGTCCAAAATGGGTATTAATAGGTGCATTTTGAAACAACTGGTCCTGAGATATGGGAGGATACAAATGGACAAGTTGATATATTTGTTATGGGAATAGGTAGTGGAGGAACTGTCACTGGAGTTGGACAGTACCTTAAATCCAAAAATCCTAATGTTAAGGTAATGTTATTCACATCATAATTCAAATTACATATTCTATTAGACATACACAATCATTAAATATTTCCCTTGAAATGTTTGTATCATTTTAGATATATGGAGTGGAGCCAGCTGAAAGTAATGTACTGAATGGTGGTAAACCTGGTAAATATTATGAGAGAAGTAGTCCAACATGTATTTAAATCATTCCCGAGACAATGAATTAGGCGATATGGGACTTACTTCTGAACATGTGCGATATTCAGATGCACATTATTAACTTAAGCATCAACTAGAGTCATTCCTCTAGAAAATTGGCGAACTCTGATGTTGTTCCATTGATATAGGTCCTCATGAAATAACTGGCAATGGGGTTGGATTCAAACCAGACATATTGGACATGGATATAATGGACAAAGTTCTTGAAGTAAGTATTACAAATATCACTTCCTCCCAGAAACTGATTTAGCTTGAAGTTTTTGTCTCTCTGATGTTTTAAACATCATTGAAAATTTATGTGGCAGATTAGAAGTGAAGATGCAATTAACATGGCTAGGCAATTGGCCTTGAAGGAAGGACTCATGGTAATTCTTCAAGTGACAATTTTGTACACTTCCTAAAATATGATGCATGAGAACTATGAAGCTCTTGTTACATGTTACATGTACACCCTGTGGGACACTTTTTGCGACACTTTTCAAGATTATATATAACATTAAGGGTGAACATACGTCGGATAAGGCTTGTCCCTTATCTAACCCTAAATGTTATTCAGATTACTTTTTGATCCCGACCTTAGATCGGAAGGCTAACTCGACCCCAAATGTCAATTGGGTCAGCTTTTGATCTCGAACCTGATCGTATATTTGATTAAATATAACGCATATCTCTTTTAGATAAAATATTGTCAATATTACTTATTATTATTGTGGATATGTAATTTGACATATGAAATGATATATAAGTAGATATATTGTTAATCATTTACATATATATATGATGAAAAAATTAGTACTAGAGAATCAATGACACTTTGGGTCAAAAATATGTTATTACGTACACAGTTGAATATGCACATACAAACATGAGAATGATGACCATGGAGAGGTCGAACCGGGTCATGCCTGTCCCTTACCCGACGACTAGGTACCTAATTTTTGAAATCGAGCCCTACCCTAGACTTGAATGAAACCAATCATATTCAGGCCTGATCATAATGAGTCCAAACTGGGTGAACGAATAAGGTCTGGTCATGTAGAGTACCTGAAAAGTGTCATAGTGTAAAAAAACATTTCTCCTATTCATTTATCCATGGATTTCATTCTATGATCTGATCCTTAGATAGCTCATAAAAGTACTTATAATTGAATGTAAAAGTATGAAACTGAAATTGTATTTATTTTTTCCAGGTAGGGATATCATCTGGAGCAAATACAGTAGCAGCACTCAAATTGGCTAACATGCCTGAAAACAAAGGCAAACTTATTGTGGTAAGAAACATTTACATATAAACTTTGCTTAATAGTTAGTACTATATTTCATTTAAGGTACCATAATTCTTCTCTATTGGTTTATGATGCTTGTGACAATCATTGTTTGACTGAATTTTAGACCATTCATCCAAGTTTTGGGGAACGATACTTGTCTTCAATCTTGTTCCAAGAGCTTAGGAAAGAGGCTGAAAACATGCAGCCAGTGCAAGTTGATTAACACAGCAACTAGAAATCTTTGTTGTAGAGTTATGGATCAACAACACTGTTTCTTGAATAATGTTGTAGCATAAATTGTCAACTACAATAGTAATTGTAGTGTACCCAAAGAAAACTTCTCAACTAGAGCTATGTTTTTTTTTATTGATATGGATTAGTACAGTCTTTATTTCATTGCCCGCTGAATTTTTTTTAAGTGAAATCCTTTTTGGAATGGCATATGTATCCTCATTACTTATATCTAAATGACGTCTTTATGGAGATATTCATTGTACCTCACATATTTCTTTAATTTGTAGTTTATAAATAAGTGCAGTACAACTTGTATTATCCTTTTAAAAATTATGCATACTTGATCAAGTTTTCTTATAGTTATAGATGTTGATGTTGCTTATAATAATATGAGTTTGTAATGATTTTACACTTGATAAAATAAATTATGTATGTATTGATTGATAAACACTAAAGATGCTTATAAATCACTTAATATTTATACTATATGTATTTTTTGTCAAAAATTCTATTCTATAAATTTCAATGAGCAACAAACGATTAGTTTGAGATGTCAATTTCACAATTTTGTTATTGGTATGTTTATGATTCAAGTTTGAAAAATTCTCAACAATATGTGATTAGTCATATCTTGTTTTATGAAGTTATTCATTTTATCTTGTCTTTATATTTATTGCTCAATTAATTTTAGTTATAAAATTATAATTAAATATTGTTGTATTTTACATATAAGCCAACTTTATATAATGGTCACTCGTAAAAGTACAAGAACGATTATTTGTTATATGACTCCATGTGTTACATGTTAGAAAATTAATAAATATATATTAATTTTATACTTTCTAACCAATAAGATATTATATGGAGAATACACATTTTGGAACAAAAGATGTGGAGACAATTTTCACTCATTTCTTTTCTTGATGTAACATTATCATGTGCAAGTTTTCACATGAAGGAAAGCAATCATACATTCCTTAAATTGGTTGATTGAATTTTGTTATCAAAAAGATTAGAAATCGACATTACGTCACAACCGACCTTAGCTCAGTTGGTAGAGCGGAGGACTGTAGTTGGTGTTATCATTCAGATATCCTTAGGTCGCTGGTTCGAATCCGGCAGGTCGGAATTTTTTTTTTTTTTTTTTTTTCACAATTCCCTTTTTCATCTTTCCCACTTTTTTCAAAACAACAAAAATGATCATTAAATAAATACAGAGAAAAATGTCTAGTTTTATACACTTAGCTATGAATGTATATGATGATTGTGACCACAACCTAATGCTACTCAGATTTTAACATGATTTTTTTTATAGTCAATTATGATTTCAATTTTTTATAAAATAATAATGAGTTGAAGTAATAAATAATAACATACCAGATGTAATGGTGGTATAGTTAGAAAAATGAATTAAAATAGGGATTGACCTACAAAGTTGCTCTAGCAATGTTCTCATTATAATTGTGGCATTGAAAACATTAATCTATATATAAAGTGAAAACATTTTATAACTATCTATATGGTGTAATTTTTATTATTTATTTTGTCATTTTAATAATCTATTATTACAATGTTTTACCACACAATAAAAAAATATCAATGAAAGTTAGAAGATCAAAAATATCAAACAATGCAATTTTAAAATAAGTTTTAATAATATAACAATTCATTTTCATATTTTTCTATTACATAAATTATAATATCATCTACATTCAATAAAAAAATTGATATAATTATCTAAAATGAAATATATAAAAAATTAATAATTAATACTAGAAAATAAGAATGCGGGTCTGGATATATTAGTAAGATATAAATTGAAATATTCTAATTATGTTACTTTTCAAATAATTTTCTTTCTTGATTTATTCGCTGTTATTTTATTAATGCTTAAATCAAAACATGTTGTTACCTTTCTTCTCTTTCATTTTTAAATTTTATAATAATATTTAATTTTAAATATCTCAATATTATATGCATTTAATGCTACCGTATATTGTGCAAAAATAATGTAGAAAATTTAACTTAAAATTTAAAAAATGGAATAAAAAACATGATATAACTCAATCTCACTACTTTACATACTGAAAAAAAAAGTATAAAAAGTAATTTCATTAAAAATAGTAAACAATAGATGAATTAAGTCCATTTTTAAAAATATTTTTTCTAATTCCAATGCTGCTGACACATCTTAGAATTCACACCTTGAGTTAGTCTATTCTTAACACGCATTTAAAAACTTTTGAAAATAATCTCCCGAGACTACAGTACTTACGTAGGATTTTTACATATGACAAAAAGAAAAATTTAAATAGTTTATATTTTTACCTTTTTAAATTAAAAATTTACAAAAATCACCCCACATTTTCAGTAACCGGAGAGAAATCATTTTTTGTATTTGTTATATGATAAATAGTCTCACTCTCAATATTATTTGGAACGACGGTTAGAAAAAAATATTTAAGTAAATAAATTATTACTAATATATATTTTTTAACCGATCACAAAAATGATATATGAAACAATATATTTTAATGAGATAATAAATGTGTTATAATGAGTATTATTAATACAATATCAATCATTAAATTGACAAGAGTATCGATATAATAATTAAATCAATAGTTCACTAATTAAATTGTATACAAGTAAAGTTAGATATACATATATATTATATTAACATTAATGTTAAAAAAACTAATAAAAATGTGATAAATAATTTTATTTGCATTATTTGTTAAAACAAAATGTGTGATCCAATGGTATACCATGTTTTAGAAATATAAATAAAGATAATAATTGTGTGTTTGATCTTTCGCAATAACATTTTTGTAAAAATTAAGTAACTTTTATAAAAAATTGTAATTTTAATGACTGATATGATTTAAATAAAAATCGGTCAGTATGATTAGTTTGAGCCGATCTTGACTTGTATGATTGCATGACCTGTGTAATAGTTTTGCTATACCATTATAGAGACCTATTCACTAGTCTTTCGGTTAAACGTGTTAATACGATTTTTATATATCATGATAGTTATATATTTGTATTAATATTAAATATCAACTATTTAACTCATATTGTAGTAGTGTTTTTTTAAAGTTGTATAAACCTAAAGAAAATGAAGCTTTAACCCATTTAAACTTTTGCTAATGTTGAATTTCATACAGTCTATATATCCCTTCAAGCAAATTTTTTTTTTTTTGGTTTTGATTACAAATACTACAAATAGGGACAATTTTATTCAAGTAAAAAATTAAACTATAGTTGGGCTAACTTTCCATACACCAAACTTAGAATAAAAAAGTAGGAATTAATATGGGTTAGATTGGGTATTATAAGACTTGTTTCTTACTCGACCCTAAATATTGGTTAGAATTCGACCCAAACCCGATTAAATATAATACATGTCTCATTTACATAAAAATTTCTCAATATTACTTATTATTATGAAAATGTAATTTGACATATGATAAGATGAAAAATTAGAAAATATTTTTAATCACCAATATGATGAAAAATAAAAAATAAAAAATCAATATATTTTCGACTAAAAAGATATCATTACTTTATATACAATTAGATAGATTTACATACAAATATGATTAGTGAATGACCGTGAGAAGGGTGAAGACATATCATCCTCACCCCTTAATCCATTTTAAATATTGATCGAACCTAATTTTTGAACCAAAACTTAAATCCAATAAAAATTGACTATATTCAGATCCAATAACGATCATACCTAACTGGTTAAGGCCGGATCCTCTTCACCTCCGAAATAAAAACTTTGTTTAAATAAATGGTTGCTTATAATTGATTTTTTATTTAAAAAAAACATTAACTCTACTCTTAAACAAAAATACAAAGTATTAACTCACATTTAAGAAGGAGGGCCATAGGTAATTTTGATGAAAAGTAAGGGCAATCTCAAAGAATGCTTTTCGTAAATCAGTAACCATAGCGACCCCACCTCGTTGTTTTGGCATAAAGGCATAACAACAAAGAGAGAGAAAGAGAAATAGGTCCATTCACATTTTTCACTTCCAATATTCTGAACCCCAAAACAAAAAAAAAAAGTTTTTTTTTCAAAAAAATTTGTAGGGTTTGACCGAAAATTGCACACAATCATGATTCAGACAAGTTTCTTCTTCTCCTGAAATATCCACCCTTCACTTGTTCCGAGAATCACGTTTTTTTAGAGAGAGAAAATCGGTGTCTGCTTCAGCCATGGAGAGAGAGAAAAAAGTGAAAGCATGATTGTGCTTTTTTAATTCAAAAAAAGTTTGGGTTTTTCTTGAATTTTGGAGGGATCTGAGGTTTTTGCATTTGTGGGGTCTGTTCAATTTTTATGAATTTTGCTTCTTTTTGATGTGTGGTTTATACTGTTGAGTGATCTGAATTTTGGTTATTCTCATTGAGTTCTGCATGCAATCTGGTGGCGGTGGCAGTGGCCGAAACCCTGGCGTGGGGCCGGCGGGCCGAGCAGCGTCGTCATCTGCAGCTGCTTCGCCGTCTTCATCGTCGTCGGCATCACAATTAGGGTTAGACTCATTGCATCAGCATCAGCATCAGCAGCAGCAGCAGTTAGGTTCTAGACAGGTGTGGATTTTTTTGGTTTTAGCTCAATTTTATGTGAATTCAGTAGAACTTATACTCTGACTAGTTAGTTGTTTTGATTGTACATAGTGTTCTGTGTGCAGTGATGTTACTTATTGCTTTATTAGGTTTTGATGATGTGTGACACTTTGTGGTGGGGTTTTGGGAATTGGGATTTAGTCAAATTTGCTTATTTTTTTACCTTTATTTTATGACAACCTCGTACCTTCTTACTTAGCTGGTCGGGTATGTGGTTATTTTTAATGAACAATTAATTTTTCAGGTGAACAAGGAGTCAAACTAGGCATGTGTTAATTTGGTTGAGTGTGAAAACTTGATGGATACATTGAACTTGGGTTCAATTGTATGCTTCTGTGCTGATATTGATAGTTTTTTCTGTCAAGTTTCCTTTCATTTTCAATCAACAATAATATGAACTCTTCTGTGGCCTTTTGAGTTATTTTATTAATTGGTCCTTTTGCATTTATTTTATGCTCATATCTGAGGTTCAATTATTGGAAAGTATAAAGTATTCTGTGTTTACTTTTTCTTTTTGAAACATCTGGAATTTCCTTTTAGATATTGATGAGTATTATGGAACATTTGGGATTTTAAAACTTAAGGTTCATGTTCACTGAGTTGGTTTTGGAAACTCTCTCTTTCTTCTCCAAGTGCTATTCTATGTTTAAACATGTTCATTTACTCCAGATTAAAAGAAGTCAAGCTCAAGTTGCATCTTGCTAAAAGTGTTATTTCGTCATGTACCAAAAAAAAGTGTTATTTCGTCTACTTCTGCATAGTTTTAATTTCAGCCTTGATTGTTCATGCTGTCTATCTCCTCTGTTATTTTAGCAGTGAAACCTGAGTTATGTCATTAATTTAAATCGTCTTTTCATGTTGATTTTCTGTATTCTATCTGATGCAATCTTTAGGGAAAATCATCATTACATTGACTATTTCTCAAAATGTTGTGTTCATTAATGTATGACTGATTTTCGTCCTGTTATGTTATGTGGTAGTGGTAGGATTCTGTCATGATTCATAATGATGATCTTGTTTCTTGTTTATGTTATAACAGTAAATGTTGCACCTTGCCAAAAGTGTTGTTTTGTCTACTTCTGCCATATTGTAATTTTGAGCCTTGATTGTTCTTGCTGTCCATTTCTTCTGTTACTAGTAGTAAAATCTGTGTGATGTCATTAATTCAAACCATCTGTTTCTTGTTGAGTTTCAGTTTTCTATCTGATGCTGATGCACTTATATGGCTGATTTTCTGGGTGTTTTGTAATATTGGTCGATAGGATTCTGTCATAATTCAAAATCATGGTCTTGTTTTCGGCTTTCATGTTTATTTTACTCCAATAGAGGACAATGTTTGGTTTTATATATTGTACTAGTAGCCTTCATAATTATCCATATAATTTTATTTCCTATTATTGTAAATATTTTTCTTATGTTCATGTCATGTCTGTACATATGCAGTCATTCCAACAGCAACTACTCAGAAAACCTGAAGGGAATGAATCCTTT